AGTAGTAGTAGCAGTAGTGGTAGCAGAAGCAGTAGTAGTAGTAGTAGTAGTAGTAGTAGTAGTAGGCTCGAGCGCGCCCCCAGCTCTTTGGTGCGGATAGCCTTTTTCGGTTTTTACATTGCCATTGCTAGGGACGGCACTTCGGGGTTGTAGGGCGTGGCGGGGGGATGGGGCGGGGGGCGGAAGCTGCCAGATATATGTCCTCTACTACATGTCTGTACAAGATGCATGCCTCGGATACGAAGCCGCCGGCAACCAAAACAGCTTATGCAGATTTATGCAGGTACGACATCCACTTCACCAGAAAAGGCGGCTGAAGCAGTCTTGCAACGAAACTGTGACCGTCCCCCCGGCTACAAGGAAAGATTGCCAATACCATTGCCATCGCTACCCAACTACCACCACCATCTCCGGTGGTGCACTCGGCGCCGACTACAGTACACTTAGCAGCAACGGTCTCTTATATGATCTTGGCTGCCGCGTGTTGCGCAGCGGGAAAACGACTCAAATCCATACTGCTCCATGGACGTGTTCACCAGTTTCTCGAAGGTGCGAATGCCTATTGGCCTTTTCAGCTCCCACTGCCTCTATTCCCTATTCCCTACCGTCACATACAGTGCAAGCCCTGCCGGCTCCGCCTCTCAATTGCAATGCAGGCCACTGAACTCCGAGGCTGTCGGTCGGTTGAAGGGCCCGCGCTCCAACTCGCGCAGGAAAGCCTAGCCCAGGCGAAGGGAGCTCAGAGCTTTCAGCTCTGACCCTCTTCCTGAACTGAAGCGAAGGGCAGGCATACATACAACGATCAAAACCCATGGAAAGACAGATGGATGATTTCGTGGATGAATGCATAGATGTAGACGTAGGGAAAGACACATGCGGTGTGGCAAGCGGGCAAGCAGAAGCACATGAATAGAGAAGTACCGTGAAGTATCCAAGCGTGTGTCTGCAGAGGCGTGTACTACTCCACCATCCCACTTTGGCAAGCTAGATGGTACTCTACAGTGCCTGCATACAGATGGGACGACATTGGCAAACGACAGGGTCGACTTTGTGATTTAGCACGCTAAGCCGTTGTCGTGCTCTTTCCTTGCTGGATTGGACTGAACCAAAAACTTCCCACTCCTCGCACCAGAAACACCAAAACACAAGCTTTCACATCCACTCAGGCCTTGTGAGTGACCAGGCACACGCTCTCTGCACTCGCGTCCTGCAACAACTTCCTTGGCTGTGAAGCTCAGGATGTTTCGACAGCATTCAAAGCCGGTTCTAACACGCTGGGGCATTTCAAGTTACACTTACCCAACTAAGCAATGAGCTCGGCATTGCCAAGCGAGTTTGTGAGAAGCAGGTGGCAAGAGTGCACGTAGACGTAGGTAACTGAGCACACGCCCGGAAGCACTAGTCGCCTAACGTCTCCTGTGCATGCTCCTTCCTCGCCGGGTCTGTGATCTGCACCGCAATCCTTTGCACATCTACACAATCCACAGCCTGGTCACCCGAGTCCGGCAGTGCGCTTTCGCAGCATCGGCCTGGTACAGAGCTGCTCGTAAAGGAATGCAAGGGCGCTTCCGCACGGAGGTGATGTGTGTGACATTGTGTAACGGTACTAGTTTGCACGACAAGGCTTCTACCTGCAAACCTGGCGTGGCACTCCGCATAAGGGCCGAGTGGCTTCTCCTCGATCAAGGGCCAGGTTTTGTACCGACGAAAAGGTGCGTTGACCTTGGCCGAGCGCCACTCCGAAGCAGCAAAAGGAATAAAGAGGCCATGGGCGGTGGCTTCCGGCCAAGACTGCGGAGCAAGTATACCCCGGAGACTTGGCAAACGGTATGGACAATTTTCTAGAATTAATCGCATGTTCGACCATTCGACCTCATCTCGAACCTGGCGGAGCACTTTTTTTTTTCCTAACGTTGGCGGTCCCCGGTTTCCCTTGCTAAGGTTGGCGGTCCCGTTTTGGTTAGAACTACTATGCACTGCAGCATTTCCTATTGTTTTGCATCTAGCTATTAGGCAACTGCAATTAGCAGGGTGGCCTTTTGGGCTAGGGCTGGGGGTGGGGTTGGAA